ATGTTGCTCATTTCACGTGGTCCTGGTCGTCTGAGGGATCTTTGCACTTGGCTCGGATCCTGAAAATAGCAATTTTGCAATTCATACCACAAGGACTGCTAATAATAGCTAGAGTGCTTTTCCTCTGGTGGGTTGGAGCCCCTGGGTTTGTCTCCCCAGCACCCCAACCCCAGAAAGAAGCCAGCTTACACCTTTGCCCAGGGCCTTCCTTCTAAAACCGCAGCTTAGGTGAAGTGGGTAGAGGATTGGATGATGCAGCCCAGGCCTGGTTGCTGATACTGCCCCACCTGCTCTGCAAGGACATGAATGGGACAAGCTGTGGGCCTCAAGATCACGGCACTCAGCCACTGTACCTGTTCAGCTGAAAACTGGGAGCTCCCAAAGCCAGGAGAGAAGCATATCCCTGTTCCTCCTGCCCTTTGCCCCTCCCGGTCTCCTCCCTCTCTCCCTCCCTTCCAGGTGCACACCCTGCCCCATCAGGCTGAGTACTGTGGAGTCCCAAGCCTGACAGAGCAGACCCACCTCATGGAGCTCACAGGACTGACAGTCGTGTCCACCCACTGAATCCCCTTCATAGCTCATCTCCCATTTGTGGGCCCAAGTTCATGATTCACCTGCATTGAGCCTGTATGAAAAGCCAACTTACTTTTTATATTTTCCTTAATGATGATTCCAAGCATCAAAGGATTTCCCAAGTGAAAAGAAATTCAGCCAAAAACATGTTTCAGTCCGTAAGGATGACGTGAGCCTGTCTGCTGCATCACGGGCCTGGCTTAGCGGCTGAGCGGGGCCTGCTGCTGTGGTGCGCCTTCTGTGCACCCCCGAAGCTGCCTGTCCAAAGCAGCACTCATCGTGGCTCTAGGATGAGGAGGTCACAAAGCCAGACAGTCTCTGTCTGGACCTAGGAGCCTCCCTGGGAGCTGGGGCTGGATCGTGGCCTGTGAGTGTTGGTCAGCCTTTGGGCTTCTAGGAGTCCCTGCCTGACAGGGAGCAGACTCATTGTTAGTAAAATCCCTCACCACAGTCAGATTCCAGCGGCCCCTTTCCTTTCTTCCAGTCAAGAAAATTATTGTTGTTGTTATTATTTTAAGTTTAAAAAATGTATTTCTTGGGACTAGCAGTTGCTGTAATGGCTACATCATTGGACTCCCATGTAGTCGACCGTGGTTTGAGTCCCAGACCTGATGGTTTAAACTCATGCCGGGTGCGTGTGTGTGCATGCCCAAGATCCCGAGGAGAATGGAGGAGAAGAGAGTGTGGCGTGGCCATCCCTCCTGGGGGGGTGATTTCTCACTTTTTGCCTCTCTGTCTTTGTCTTTCTGGTAAGTGCACGTGCCCTATAGCCAAAACCTCCCCCCCAAAACTTTTATTTCTTTATTTAACTTTATTTTTATTATTTATTATTTTTATTATTATTTTTAATTTGACCAAAGAGACAGAGAGAGAGAATGGAAAAGTGAGAAAGCAAGCCACCAGGTCCAGGATTCATATCATGGTTGGCCATGTGGGAGTCCAACGCCTTAACCATGCCACCTGCTAGCCCCTATTTTAAGTTTTTGCAATAGGACACATGTGCTTGCCAAAGAGAGAGAGAAACTGAAAGAGAAAGTGAGAACTCATCTCCTCGGGGATGGCCACATGCAACCCCTTCTCCATCCTCCTCTCAGGATTTTGGGCACGCACACACACGCCTGGTGTGAGTTTCAAGCCACAGGGTCCAGGACTCAAACTGCATCCGGTCATGTGGAAGTTCAGTGACTCACCCACTGTGCCACCTGCTGGCCCCAAGAAAAAGATGAATTATCTGGTTCCGAGAGAGAGAGGCAGTGAGAGAATGAAAAGTCTGGAAGTGGCCTGAAGCCAGGGCAGCAGCAGGGCAGGACAGGGCGCGGTCCAGCAGGCCTGGCTGGCTTTGCTGCTCAGCAGCCTTACAACCCTGTCTTCTCCCAGCACCTCCAGATGGTCTCTCCAGCCCCTTCCATCCCCAGTAGTCCTTTTCCCAAAGGGTCCGTCCCAAAGTGCTGGCACCCAGGACTGCCCGCACTCCCTCCTGCCAAGTGCACAGCTACCTGGCACAGGCCCTGCCACCTCAGAGGGGGTTTCGGAGAACTTCGAGCACCCTGAGGGCTCAGACCAGCCATACCATGGGCCCCTTTGTTCAGTTAAGTCTCCAGTGGGGTGTTGCTGAAACCCAATGGGAGATGGTCTCAGATGCGAGCCAGCAGGGACATTAGTCAAAAAAGTAGCAGGAGGCCACACCTTTGGGTCCTCACAGTGCCTCACAGTCCTGCCTGGAGAGTGGTGGAGGCTGGGCTGGAAGGCTGAGCTCTTCTGTCCATCCTTGTCCTTTACTTGAGGGGCAGTGGGGGCAGGCTCCTGCACCCGGCCATGGCAGTGGCCTGGAGCAGCTTCCTGGCCTAGCTTTCCCAGTGGACTCTGGCTTCCTCCCACATCTACCAAGACAGTCCCCAGGGTCCTTCCAGTCACTAACCTTTGGGGACTCTCTCCCGGGTCAGGGGCGCTGTCCCCAGCGGGGGTCAGCTCAGGTGAGGGCAGGGGGGTTGGCTGATGTGACAGGACATCTAAGATGATGGAATGGGACGGAAGGAGCCAGGCCGGGAGGGAAGCGCCGGACGGCCTCTGCCTCGGACTTGCCAGCGGGTGGCGCTGTAGGACAAGCTGAGGGCCTCTCTCCGGCGCTGCTTCTGCCCGGCCGAGCACCCCGGGGCAATGGGAGAGGGACTGGGGCGGTATGCAGGCGTGAGAAGCTTCTGCCGTGGGCTGGCCCAGCCTTGGATGCGCAGAGCCCGATTCGGGTCCTTCCGGAGACTCTCCCGCCTGTGCCCCTCCCCTTCCCACAGGGACTTCAGCGCGGAGAGCTGGAGGCTCCCTTCCAGAAGCCTCTCCCTCTGGGCATCTGAATCAAAGCGAACGCTTCTCTGTCCCTTTGAAATCCTGCCCTCGTCCCTCCCTCTGCGGCTCACCTCACCGGGCTCGGGCTCGGTGCCTCAGTAATGAGGAGATCCCGACTCACATCAACCTGCTGCTCACAAGACCTTGAGGGAGCGCCCTGTGCTATGCCGTTCCTGTCTCCCGGTGCAGGCGCAGAGCGGTCAGGACACCTGCTCCACACAGAAATCGCCCGGTGGCGCGGGGCTCCAGGCTGCTACCCTGCACTCAGGCCGGCTGGGTTGCTCGTGGGCAGAATGAGCGTCTCCCTGTGGTTCGTGTGCTGGGGGGAGGTCTCGAGGCCCTGGAAGTGGGCTCTGGGAAGGCAGGGCCGGGCCAGGGTCCTGAAGTGCGAGGCTTCTTTCTGGAACTAGTTTCTAATGAGGGGGGTGGGGCAGCCGCAGGTTGAGAAATACTCAGGTCTGGGGCCAGCAGGTGGCATCGTAGTTAAGGCACTGGACTCTCACATGGCCTTGAAGTCGGAGTTCCAGACCAGGCAGCTTGAAAACCACTCCGGTCACCTGTGCACGTGCTCAAGAACCCCAGGGGGAGGATGGAGAGGGGAATGTGACAGGGCATTCCCACCCTTGGGAGCGAGTTCTCATGTTCCCTCTCACTGCCTCTCTGTCCCTCTCCAGTGAGCGCATGCTCCCTATGGCAAAAACCTAAACTAATTAAATAAATAAATAAGGTAAAAAGGAACACTCAGGTCTGAGAGGCCACAGTGGTCTGGGCCCTTGGCGGTCACCAGCACGGGGGCAGAGCGTTGCTCCCTGCCCAGCTGCAGCCTGCAAGGGGTGTGAGCCATGCAGCTGGTCACAAACAACACCACACCGTCACAGGCCACCCTCAGGACAGGGCCCTGGAATCTCGGGTTTCTGGTGGGGCATCATCCTTTCCAGAGTTTAATAGTGGGGCTGGGATAGGAGCTACTCCAAGAAGGTCCCCTGAGTAGGGACTGGACTTCTGGGCTGAGGTCCGGATAACACGGGATGTGAAGGTGGGGCCCAGGGTTCCAGGCAGAGGGAAAGCAAGCGCAAGCCCCGAGGCAGGAGCATGTGGCTGGGAGCGGTGGGGAGGGGTGAGGACAGGGTGGAGGTGGGTGGGAGGTGGGGCTGCAGGCCAGGCCTGGCTGGATCAGCTGTGAGACTGTAGACCTGGCTTGGTGCTGGGAGCGCTGGAGTGTTGGGGAGGGAAGTGGGGCGATGGTTGCTCCGTGGGGACAGGTTGTGAGGGGACCAAGGAGGCAGGAGGTGATGAAGGAAGCTCCAGAGAGGTGAGAGTGGAGACACAGAGAAGCGGGTGGGTCAGGCTGTGTTGGAAGCCACCTTGCTCGCCAGGTGTGTTGTGGCTTAGCTAAAGGAAACAGAGCCCTGGAGGCTTTGGGCTCTGAAGCCGCAGATGGTGGTCTCAGCTATGAGATGGGAAACAGGAAGAAGCAAATTTGGTGGGAAAACAATCAAGGGTTTGAGACCAGTAGGTGGCATAATGGTTACATTGCTGGACTCCCACATAGTTGACTACAGTTTGAGTCCCAGACCCGGTGGCTTAAAACACACCAGGCACGTGTGTGTGTGCACCCAAAATCCTGAGAGGAGAATGGAGGAGAAGGGATGGTCCTCCCCCCGGGGGGTGATTTATCACATTCTGTCTCTCTGTCTCTCTCTCTGTCTCTCTGGCAAGTGCACACACCCCATAGTGAAAATCTTGCTAAGAATAAAAAAAAACCTGAACTCCAGGGTTCTGTCCTGGCCACCTGGAGGTGGATTCCAAATAGCCACGTGAAGATGCCAGCTGGGCAGGGCATGAGTGACGCTGGAGTTCTAGGAGAAGCTCCGGGGTGGAGATCGGCACTGGGGAATCCTTAGAGGAGAAATGGCATTTAAAAGCTCAAATCTGCTTGACTCCAAAGCCGCACTGCTGAGATGGCCTGGATGTCCGTGCCCATGAAGGGTCCCGCGTGACAGCACCGTCATCTGACGCGGTGCAGTGGGTTCCCTGCTTCGCAGGCACAAGCACACTGGTTTTCAAACGAAGACACAAGAGGGGGGTGATAAGCAGCATTTTAACTGAAAATAGCATATAACATGTGGGGAGAAGCCAAAGTGCATGCAGAGAGAGCTCAGAAGTGCCCGGGAGTCTGGCTGAGAAGTCCCGCCGCCTGTGCACCTTCCCTCGCGGAAGGCCCTCTCCTTTGGGAGGGGTTGATGTTCTCAAGTCGGCCTTGGGAAGAAGTCCACCTAGGCCTGCCTTAATTGACAGGGCCCCTGCACTAAAGGGGCAGGCCCTGAGTAATGAACCTTTGCTTTTCCCTGCTGTCAGGGGTCCCCGAGAGATACCGCTGCCATGGCAAGACATCAGGCATCCCAAAAAGAGCAATTAGAACTCATGTTTGGAACAGAAAATGAGGGCTTTCAAAGCACGTCACTGTCTCGCTTTCTGCAGAAAACACACGGGTTGTTCTTAACACCTAATGGGCAGAGCCATGAAATCGACCCTTAGCCTGGAGTCTGAAAAACTGCCTTGTAATTTGAGTTTGTCTTGTCAGGTGAGGGCTTGAAAAAAGAGACAGGGTCATCTTGCCCCGGGAGGGGGAGGAGGAGCCCTCAGTGATGGTCACTGGGGCAAAGAGAAGACTAGTATTGGTTACCCTAAAAGGGGGGACGCTTACCAAAATAATTAACCCGAGACTGAATCTGAGGTCCTTGCAGCAGCAGAACCTGCAGAAAAGTGGGGAGTGTCCTAGGGGAACGGGAGCGAGAAGGGCAAATCCTTCGGGGGATTTTCTACCACATCGGGAAGGCTTCTCATGGCAGGAGAGGGCCTAGGGGTGGGTGTAGTTGCCCATCCGCAGAGTCCCCTGGCGTACAAATGGGCTTTGAATGCTCTCTGGCGATCGGCCTCAGTGGGGAACGTGTCCAGTTGGGAGCCCACCTGTGGACAGGGAGCAGAGGGTGAGTGAGGTCTGGGAGTTTCCCCCCTCCCCCCTGCCACCCAGTCAGTCTAGAGTCAGACCCAGTAGCTGCAGGAGAGAAGGAGGTCCAGGAAGTGCTGAGAGCTTTAGGGACTGAGCCCTGAGGAGCCAGGGGGCAGGAGGCACAGGGCCGTCCTGCTCATTGCCGAGAAAGGTGTGTAACAGTAAATGACCTCCACACCGCATCACCACGCGTGGGACGTGGTAGCCAGTGTGGTGCACATGCTGATTCTCCACCAAAAAAAAAAAAAAACAAGGGTGCTGGCAGGTGGCATCGCTGGACTCCCACATGGTTGACTGCTGTTCGAGTCCTGGACCTGTTGTCTTGTTTTCTCATTTTCTCTCTGTCTCTCTTTGGTCAAGTTAAAAAGAAATAATAATAATAATAGGGGACCAGCAGGTGGTGTGGTAGTTAAGGGGACTGGACTCTCACATGGCCAACCATGGTTCGAATCCTGGATCTTACACCTTGCTTTTTCTCTTTCCCCCTCTCTCTCTTTCTCTCACTCTGTCTTCTCTGGTCAAATTAAAATAAATGAATAAATAAATAAAGTTAACTAAAATAATTCTTTAATAATAATATATAAAATTAAAGAAAATAATTCTAAAAAACAAAACAAAGCCAAAACAAACTCAAACAGGGCCAACCCTGTGGCCTAGAGGTGAAGGGAGCCAGATCCCACATGGCCGACCACAGTCTGGATTCTGGCCTTGGGGGCTTGAGAAACACGTGGTTATGTATGTGCGTGTGTCCCAAATCCCAACGGGAGGAAGAAACAGAAGCGATTGTGGCGTGACCAACCATGCCGGGTGGGGAGAGCTTTCTCCCTTCTCTCTGTCTCTCCATCGCTCTCTGGCAAGGGTACACACACTCTGCTGATTAAAAAACAAACAAGCAAGCAAGGGGCCAGCAGATGGCATAAAGGTTATGTCACTGGACTCCTTTGTAGTCGACTGTGGTTTGAGTCCTGAACCTGGTGACTTAAAACTCACACCAAGGGGCCAGCAGGTGGCGTGGTGATTAAAGATACTGGATTCCCACATGGCTGACCATGGTTCGAGTCCTAGACCTGGTAGCTTGCTTGCCCTTTCTCTCTCTCTCTCTGTGTGTGTGTGTGTGTCTTGCTATGGTCAAATTAAAAATAACAATAATGTCGCTGGATTCCCATGTAGTCAACCGCAGCTTGAGTCCTGGACTCAGTGGCTTAAACTCATGCTGGTTGCATGTGCGTGCGTGCCCAAGATCCCGAGAGAAGAGTGGAGGAGAAGGGATTGTGGCGTGGCCATTCCCCCTGTGGGGGTGATTTCTCGCTTTCTGTCTCTCTGTCTCTGTTTGTCTTAATAATGATAAATAAAATAAAGGAAATAATTCTAAAAAAAAAAAAAAAAAAAGAACGCAAACTGACGCCATGAATGTTCATGCCCAAGATCCCAAGAGAATGGAGAAGGGGCTGCCATGTGGCCATCCGCCCTGGGGAGTGGTTTCTCGCTCGCTCGCTCTCTCTCTCTCCCCCCATTGAGCACACGTGCCCGATACCAAAAATCTCTCTTTAAAAAAAAAAAAGCCACCGTCTTCTAGAGAGACCTCTGGCTTCCTGAGGTCCCCCAGGAAGGGTCATGTCACTCCTTCCCTGTGCAGTGGCAGCTGGCCCTGGAAGCCAAGTGGCCAATCCTCAGCACCAGAACCACAACCAGAGCTCAAGAACGTCCCAGCTTCCTTTCTGGAAAATGAAACAAAGCCATCGGGGAGATTGGCCAAGGCACGGGCCTGCCCGGTTACTGTTTTATGCCACCGGCATCCCGGCCTGCCTTCCTGCTCTAGAAAAGGTGGGGTGTGTGTGTTACACCAGCAGCATGGCAAGGGCCCCGGCAGTAGGGGCACACCCCCAGCACATGTCTCTCCTCGAGGGTAACCTAGGGGAGGCACGGACTGGGAAGTCGCTCAGCTCTGTGCGGGGATGCAGGGTCGGGTGGATAGCGGCAAGGCTCGGTTGCACGCTCACGGCGCTCTCAGTGGGGCGGGGCGGCAGCTGGGACAGCGATTACACAGCGTTTTCAACACACCTGACCGTGCAGTGAGGCCGTGTGGCCCGAACAAACCGTCTGGGTCAGGGGAGGCCTCCCTGGCTTGGAGGATGAGTGAGGTTTCTCAGGCAGAGGGGGCAGTGTGCTGGCCCTGGGGTCAACAGAGCTCAAGATCGTGAGGGTTCACGAGAGGACAGTGTGGCCAAGGCCGATTCCCTTTGGCTTTGCAGGTACAGCTGCGTCTCTGCAGGAGCTTCGGGACAGAGCAGGACCCCTGCCCCGGGACAGCCACAGGGGACTGGGGGGCGCAGCGCAGGGTGATGGCGCAGGGGGCAGCCCCATACGGGAGGGTCCCCAGCTCAAGTGTGGAGACCTGACTATGTGGCACTCACTTGCCCATGACCCAGGGCTGGCTGGAGGCTGGGATGGGTCACGGTGTCAAGACCCTGGTGGGGGTGCTTGCCTCTCTTTCTTGCTGATGGAACACATGAATCCACGTAAAAGCAAATGCAGTCCAGAGTGGGCTCCCCGGGGCTGGCTGGCTAGGCCCTGGGCTGCAGACAGCCTACGTGCTAACGGGAAGTAGAGGAAGGTAGGGGAAGCTGGAAGAAGTCTCTGCTCGGGGTCTGGTCGGATCC